TGGAGTTTTATTTACAAATATTCACCCTAATTAAACATAAAGTACTGTCCGTCAGAGGAAGAGTAGATCTTGCATCAAGTATAACTTTATTCGATCTTTAATTCTTTCAAGGAAAAATTATGATAGAAGTTTAAAAATCTGTCACCATCGTGAGGAATTAAATCATAAGCACCTTAGCACTTATCACTTATACCCAGTTACACCCAAACTATCCAAATCAGAAAGCAGTCTAAAATCTTCAAGACCCCAATAGTATTGTGTTTTGATTCATACATTGTGACCGAAAAGCTTTCGGAAATTCTCATTTAAAATTCGCGCGCTGTATATTTTTTCGATATTTTAAGTTTATGTAGTTTGGCAGCACTAACCTTAAGCAATCAGCCATAAATGAGCGCGATCTGTCAGACAGTTCGTTTACGGCAGCTGTTGAAACCAGTTCACCTCAGTAGTGCGTTGCGAAAAAAACAATGGAAAAAAATATTGAACAAAGAGTTTGCATCAAATTTTGTGTTTCGAACGAAATTTCGTGTGCAGAATCGTTGCGAATGCTACAAAAGGCTTATGGGGAATCAGTTTTATCGAAAACTCAAGTTTATGAGTGGTACAAAGCCTTTCAGGACGGTCGTACGACCGTCGAAGACATGCCGCGTTCTGGACGACCTTCGACCTCTACCACCGACGAAAACATTGAAAAGGCAAAGGAAATCGTGTTCAAAAATCCTCATGTGAGTGTTAGAGAGATAGCACGAGAGCTAGGCATCGGTCGTGAGATGGCTCGTTTGATTTTGGTGGACAATTTGTGTATGCGACGTGTCAACGCCCGGCTTGTTCCGATTCACCTCAATTTGTTCCAACATTATCAACGATTTTAAGGCCAAACATTCAATAAATACCATCGAACAGCCACCGTATTCACCTGATCTTGCACCGTGTGACTTTTTCCTGTTTCCCAACCTCAAATTACCACTCAGAGGAACGCGTTTTGAATCCATAGAAGACGTAAAACAGAATTCGCAGAGGGAACTCAAAGCCATACCGGAAAGCGCCTATAAAAATGTTTTGATGATTGGAAGAAACGTTGGCATTTGTGTATCGCTTCTAATGGAGCATATTTTGAAGGAGATAAAATAAATATTGATGAAGATTAAGAATTTTGCGTTTTATTTAAAATTTCCGGAAACCTTTCGGTCACAATGTATATATTTTTTAATTTATATTCATTATTATATTTATATATAAATTGTTTATATATTGTTTACTCTATATATATAAAAAAAAATGTTTTACACCATTAACTTGTAAGCAATCAGCTGATTAACGACCTCGAATTTTACATTTTTTAAATGAACAAAAACGCTAATACCAGAAAGATATCAAAAAAAAATCCCATCAGTTTTTAACGTCAATAAATATTAGCACTCTGACGACAATGTTATGATGACGATGAACTAAATTACTGGTTATAAAGTTTAGAGAAAATACAGATAACATTTGATCTGAAGTTGTCAGAAGTATTTTAATAAATTTAAATAAATTTTTTCACTTAATATAGTAGACCAGATACCGGTTTAATCATATGGACATACACAAATGGACAAGAAACAATATTGAAAACGATTAACTGCTGTGAAGATTTAGGAAAAAAGAACCTAAAAGTCATCACATATTCATTTAAGCTTTACATATATATTTATTTGAATACACAAAACAAAATAAATGATACGGGGAAATGTAAGACTCTTGTAGAATATAGTATATATGCAATTGTCTAGGGAGCCAACTACTGATATACACTCGTAGTACATTAGTCTGAGGTTACACCCGAAATAAACCACAAAAAGCAAATATAAAGTCATTCATATAGTTCTAAAAGTAATCATCTACGCAAAAGCTCTACTTTTCTGCACAGATTACATAGAAATAAATTATTAAAACTGGCTATATACATCGGGGTTTCTAAGAGTACCTGTAAACATCAAGTTGTTTAGTATTTGTTTTAAGTATAAATGTTGTATATAATAATGAAAGAAAAATAATTTGTTGCATATATTTAAATTATCTACAAATTAAAATAAAAAATCTATATAATCTTAAGCACTATCGTAAAATAAACGAAGAATGTACATATATATTCTCTACGTCTAAAGACAGATTTCTGTTAACACACAACTAAAATTTATAATAAAAAAAAACAATATAATAGTGTCTCTAATAGTAAAATACTATAATATATAGTAAATATATTATATACTATTATAGTACAATCTTATATGTGTTTATAAAGATTATTTGAGTATTAGAAAACTTAGTTAGACGGACGGACAGACAAGCAAAATATAAAATTTTTATATTACATTTTCTAATTTTATTTATATTATCATAACATCCACCATATGTTGTGATACCAACACTTACCAACACGAAGGTCAAATTTTTTTACGCATGCATTAAATCTATATGCCTATATGGATTAGAAACCAATACCTGCGCAACATATTAGGCATATGGTGGCCTAAAACTATTTCAAGTGAAATCATGGAGAATAACGCAACAAACAAGCATAAACAACGAGATAAGAAGAAAGAAGTATATTTGAATTGAATACATACTGCGTAAGCCTTATGAAGATATCACGCATGCTGCTTTCACTTGGAACCCCCCGGGGACTAGGCGCAGAAGCAGAACAGCAAAAACCTAGAGAAGCATAGTTCAGCAGGACACGGGTAAATCGTTTGACGAATTGAAAGGAATAGCACAAAATAGAAATCAGTGGAAAACTTTTGTAAACTCCTTAAGCTCCTAATGGAGCATATATATAATAATAATATAAATAATATAATCATAACATCATTATCATTATAATAAATCATAATAAAATATTAAAATATTTTCTATTCAAGTTTCTAAATAAAGCATCTTTGTTTTAATTACACTATCATCCAATTTTGGCTTTATTTTGCACAAAGTATTCTTAAGTATTCGAACCTACTTAATCCACCTTTAGTCAAGGGAACATGCCAGTTTTTTGAATCATAGGTCAATTTCTACTTGATCTATTCTGATTTGTAAAGATAGAGTTCTTGTTATACAATATATATTTTCAAATGGTAAATATGGTAGCTTATATATTCTTTAAAAAAATATATATTTATGTATTGTATATATATATATAATTAATAATTATAACTTAACCACTGCCACTACTTAATCAACTTGTACCTGATGGTTTCATAGGCTTATATATACATTGTATTATACAGCATTAAAAACACATAACTACTTTTTAATGAGTATTTTCAAATAAGTATTATTATAATATAAAAAAAAATTTATATATAATATAATATTGAATAAAACTAATAGAATCGTATTATATTTATTTTATCGAAATTCTTTAAAGTTTATTTACTTTATTTTTAAGTATGTAATTTTTGCTATGAATATTCTATATCGTTTGGTTTACACTATTGATATTAATCTTATAGCTTTGCGTTCTATTAGCCGGGTGTTCTATTCACAGATAAGCGCATATAAATATTTAAAAAACACGTATGTTGCTTCCAACAAAACAAACTCATACTTTATATATTTATTTCTCACATACTTTTAGGAACTCGTTAAAACACATTACCTTCAGTAAATAAAAATATATTATTAACAAAAAAAAATACGGTGAAGTAACGAGTTTATCATACACAAGCCATACAATTATTATATGAAGTTCTTTTAAATCGAATTTCGTTGACCTTTGAACACGAGGATTACCTTGTGTAAGAAAATTGAGATTTGATTGACATAATGCAGAACTGGTCAGACAGACACTCCGATTTAAAAATTTATATATCTTTTTCTAATTCTTTTTTTTAGTTTCACATTTTAAATATAATTCTAACAAGAATTTGTTTATAAATACCAATAAAAAAAACTTTGAACATTGAAAGCACATAGCGTATTACAGGTTTTTATAAAATTCCATAAGGTTTCTTCTAGAAAATTCAAAAATAAATGAATCTAGCACTGCTATGGATTATTATTATTAGTCGTACAGGCAATGGTACACTTTGACTATATCATTCAGATCTATTGTGTTATCCTTGATGAGGAGTGCCTTAGTTAACTCGCACAATTTAAGATTATTGAAAACTCCAACGATATCGCTTGGTTCAAGAACCTAAAATTTTTATGATATAATGAGAATCATATGGAGATATTTTAAATCGTATTGGAATATTGCTCATGTCCTGCAATTTATCATCCCTTGAGAATTGCAGGCATGAGTAGATAAGATGGGCAATAGTTTTACTCTGCAACTAATAGAATCTACAGATGTAAGTGTGTTTTAGTTCTTTCTGACTTCAGATCTGTTTAATCTCACAATGAGACATATTATTTATACTTACATTCACACTAACAGTGTACATTTAAAAATGATTAATGGTGATGTTGAAAATCATCATTAATCACATTTAAGGGTCAGGCTTAAAGACGATATACCGATCAATTAACCACTAAATTGTAGCATATAAATTATTTTTAAAAAATTTCTCCAGAAATAATTAAAGAAAATAACATTTTAATTAAAAACAGATTTAGATTTAATGCCATTTCTTTCCCCTAAATCTGGTTCAGTTTATTTTGCATAAAATGAATAAATTATTTAATTAAAAAAATCTACAATCAATAAAAAAACGTGTTTAAAAAAATTTTATATACAAGGAGTATTAAGTAATTATGTAAATAAAGGTAGATAATATATAAGAGATTTAAATAAAATATCATTAGTAAATAAACAAACGAAATCCATTAATATATTAAAAATTTATGCAAAATAGCGGTTTGAGAACATCTGCGACAATATTGACAAACAAAAAAAAATTATTGAAATTATTAAACAAGTTTAACAAAAACCACAGCTTGACAAAAAAGAAATTATAAATGTTCTTTATTTTTTGTTTTAAATATTAATTTAAAAATTAATTTTTTATACAATTGTACTATTTTTATTTAAAAAAAAAATTAATAATAATATTATTCTTACCCCACCACACCAGTATTTGCATTAGCTAATGCAGCGCCACCATTACCATATCCTCTATGAACGCCTGTGGCTGTACTAGAGGTCTGAGCAGTACTACCACTATGATAACCACCATAACCGCCATTTGATTTATTCGCACCATATGCAGTGTATTTGTATGCATTTGGCTTGACGGCATTGTTGGAATCTTCACTAGCACCTCCATATGAATTTTTATCATTCGTATTTGACTCGGCAGCATTGTTGGTGTCTTCACTAGCACCTCCATATGAATTTTTATCATTCGTATTTGACTCGGCAGCATTGTTGGTGTCTTCAATAGCACCATCATATGGATTTTTATCATTTGCATTTGACTCGGCAGCATTGTTGGTATCTTCAATAGCACCAATATATGGATTTTTATCATTTGCATTTGACTCGGCAGCACTGTTGGTATCTTGAATAGCGCCATCATATGGATTCTTATCATTTGCATTTGACTCGGCAGCATTGTTGGTATTTACACTAACACCACCATATGGATGTTTATCATTCGCAGTTGACTCAGCAGCATTGCTTGGAACTTCACTGGCACCACCATAGGGATGTTTATCATTCGCAGTTGACTCAGCAGCATTGCTTGGAACTTCACTGGCACCACCGTACGGATTTTTATCATTTGCATTTGACTCGGCAGCATTATTAGTATCTTCAATGACACCATCATATGGATTTTTATCATTCGTATTTGATTCGGCAGCATTGTTGGTATTTACACTAACACCACCATATGGATGTTTATCATTCGCAGTTGACTCAGCAGCATTGCTTGGAACTTCACTGGCACCACCATAGGGATGTTTATCATTCGCATTTGACTCAGCAGCATTGCTTGGAACTTCACTGACACCATCAAAAGGATTTTTATCATTCGCATTTGCTTCGGCAGCATTGCTGGGAACTTCACTGGCACCACCAAATGGATGTTTATCATTTGCACTTGATTCGGCAGCATTGCTTGGAACTTCACTGGCACCACCAAATGGATATTTATTATTTGTACTTGATTCAGCAGCATTGCTGGGAACTTCACTGGAAACTAAATTAATACCGCCATAACTTCCGTAGCCTCCATGACCACCGTAGCCTCCTTGACCGCCATAGCCTCCATGACCGCCATAACCTCCATAACCGGCGTTACCGCCATGACCGCCGTAACCACTGTAACCACCGAAACCACCAAAACCTCCAGCTGCTGTAGATGCAATTGAACTTGCTCCAGCACCTGAACCTCCGAACCCACCAAATCCACCTGCAGTAGCTGAAGAAGCTGCACTGGTACCTGAATTGAAACCACCGAAACCACCAAAACCTCCGGCTGCTGTTGATGCAATTGAACTAGGACCAGAAACTCCGAACCCACCAAAACCACCTGCAGTTGCTGGAGAAACTGCACTGGCGCCACCAAAGTTTCCGCCATATCCACCATAAAATCCATTACTAAATCCACCACTATTTCCGCCAAATCCTGCATTAAAACCAGACTGGCTGCCAAAACCGCCGCTGAAACCATTACCAAAACCGGCTGCACCAAAACCTCCTACATTAGATTGTCTACCTAAACCGCCAAATGTACTGAATCCATTACCTCCATATCCACCTCTATATGGACCATTTGATCCATAATACCCATTATTGCCTCCACCGATTGAACCATAGCCGCCATAATTATTAGCACCACTGGAGGCAATTGTACTAGCACCACTTAAGCTACCATCTCCACTAGAGTAACGAAGTGGCAATGCAGCTGAGAACGCTAGTAAAACACAAAACACAGCGACCAGAATCGTCATTATCTCACAGGCTGAACAACAACACAACTAACGAACCTATATTAAAGACTGTTTCACAGGAGACAAGGTTTTTATAGCACAATAATTTTCTGATCCACTGAAGTGTATATGACGTCAGCAATTAGCATAATAACAAATTCTTTATTAACAAATAATCAATATTTTAAAAATTTTTTAAAGAAAAAAAGAGTGAGGAATAATTCAACAACAAAATAAAAATCACTTTTCATTAATATAAAACGTAGAAACTTGCAATGAGAAAAATTTCTTGGGAGATTTTATATAGGAGTACACTGAGCAGTAGATACAATCTGTATCGAAAGCGCTTTAAATCGAAATCACATAATGAAATCAAGTTCACCTAACGAAAAAGATACAAAATTTATTGTTGCTTTTGGTCTTATATGAATATACAAAGACAACAATAGCTTTATAGCTTTCTTCACTTGAACATCATCCGCTCTTTCGATTTATTACTCCGCTCACATCATCTATTCTCGGCGGACTAAATAATACGCTTTTGTTATTTAATATCGAAAGTGAAGAGACTAAAGAACGATTCTTTGCAGATTTGGCGGTATATTTTATTTAAAATAGCAAAATTATAATAATAGTGGAGCTTTTAAAATTCAAAAGAAGCTTTTCCCAAAAATTGCTGTTGAAGAAAATCTCAATAAACGCTACCAGACTTTTTCAACAATAACTGAATAACAAATTAATTACACTGGGTAACAAATTTTTAGCATTTTCAAATAAAGTATAATTTGAGGGTTTTAAATGAAACGAATTATTAGGTTTTTTTCCCAAAATTATGGTCCCATTATATAAACTCTTTACACCTAGAATAGAATAGAAATAAACAGGATACCAGCTCCGAACGGATCGGAACACTGCGACCATAGTTGATCTTTTGTGATACAACAAACTCTAACCGAACAGAAGACATTCCGCTTTCCGCATGAAAACCAGAACGTCAGCCGATGAGAACTTCCTTATGTCAAAAGAGCAGAGTACTTCTCGACGCAGTGACCTCCTCCTGGCCCAAATCAAGACTGAGCAGTGAATCACAGAGAATGTGACAGGAAGTTTTGTCTGCTTTTAGGCAGAGTCGATAAGTCGATAATCTATCTCTTCGGACAGACGTATTTTGTTAAGGTGATAAAGCAGTTTATGATGACCCATTAAGTATCCATTAGCAACCTCAACTCTGTGCTGCTGAAGAAGGATATCTTTACATCTAACTCGCCAAAAACTAATTTTAGATTTTGAGTTCCAAAAAGTTAGTTAAGCCATAATTTAGACCTTTCGCTAGTTACAAATTTGATGACAAATGGAGCGGTGAATTAAATTCATTATACACATTACCAAGCATTTAACGTTAATGCTTAACGAAGAACGTTATCCTGGCATAATGAAATGAAGTCACATGTATTGGTAACATTTGAACAGATATCTTCTTGGAAAATCTCATTATAACCAATAGAAGACGGGTAAAATATAAAACTTTTTTTTCTATGTTAACTCCAGTGCTTTTGTCTATTTTAGCTTTCCCAGTTCATCTATAATATCTAAAATTTGTATACCTTCGACATTGGAGTAGTTAAGCAGTCATTTTTCATACTGAACAGGTAATTTACAGATTACGGACGAATAAATTAATCTTCAGTAATACTAGCGACAATTATGCTTGATCTGTGCAGATATATATTCAGATACATGATTTTTCTAGTTAAGCCCGTAACCAAAATGTAAACCAAAGTATTCTACTGAATATCCCTGCAGAACTTATATTGCATTAAGGTATCTACATGAGTTGTCTTTCGTACGGTGCAATGTATATGTCACATGAGTAGATTTGGACACATCAAATTTTATCTTCCGGTCAATGGTTTCAAGAATGATATTGTTGAGTGACGACTGCATCTTATTTGTGGCTGCTTTCTGTGTGTCTTGAGATATTATAACTACCATGAAGAAAGTGCACCGACTAGAAAGGTTTTTGATTCTGAATCCGCAGGTGGAAAACGTGGTAGAGGACGTCCACATTTTCAGCAAAGCGACCAGGTAACCTGATTTGGAGGCGCTCGGTACTACCAATTGACGATAGTAAGCAACTGCTCGTGCTGAATGGGGAAGGCTACTCGATGTGGCCGAGGACGACTCACGTCTGTAATGGCCGCCTAATATTAAAAAATATTATTATCACATCAATATAAACGTATTTAGTTATTAAAAATTGTTAAGTTATTAACCTTCAGATTTGAAATCAAGATGGTTCAAAATATAAAATAACCACAAATACTATATAGGTTTACTGTTTTTATATCTTGTATGTATATCAGAGATTATCAAGTATTTAGAAAAGTTAAAGACAACTTGAGTTAAATAAGAATGTATCATTTTCTATCCATTCATGTCAAGAGCTGGTTGTAATAGATCATAGTTACGTGCAAAGAATATTCCATGATACTTTCTTTAATCTTGTAACACATTCATATGATATTAAAAATCAATAAAATTTCATATAATTTTAAATTAAATTAAATTTTTATTTAAATTATTTAAATTAAATTGTAGTAGATAAATATCACTTCAGTGGCGTTTTTATATTTCATTTGGTATAAATTAATTTTCGTTTCACAACTATTTCCCATATGATTTCTTAACACTTTCTATCAGTTTTATAAAAAAAGACAAACGAAATTTTCAAATGAATAATCAAAACATAGCAATTTTTTCACATATTTTTTAATTTTTTAGGAATATTATTTTTATTAATATTAAATTTTTAAGAAAATTAATGAGTATCAGTCATAGTTCACTTAAATTAAAGTTTCAATTTAAAAGTTCGAATTTGAGTTCGCATTAGCATTCGCATTTGCATTTGAGTTGCCAAAACCACCAAAACCATTGCCGCCTGATGCCGATGCAGATGCTGAAGCTGAAGCCGAAGAAGCTCCACCACCGCCAAAGCCACCAATACCATTACTGTTCGAGTTGGCATTAGCATTAGCATTAGAATTACCAAAGCCTGAGGAACCAGCATTTGCTCCAGCATTAGCACTAGAACTACCACCTCCTCCGACACCACCAAAGCCAGGATTGCCGCCAAAACCGCCAGGAGCACCACCAAAACTGCCCGGACCACCACCGAAGCTAGGTCTAGCACCAAAACCGGGACCGCCCCCAAATCCACCACCAAAACCAGGACCGCCACCAAAACCAGGACCGCCACCAAATCCGGGACGACCGCCAAAGCCTCCGCCAAATCCTGGACCACCACCGTATCCTCCTCCAAATCCTGGACCACCACCAAATCCTCCACCACCACCAAAACCATGATGGTGATGATGATGTTGTGGCATAGCGGCAGCTATCGCCACCAAACACGTTACAACAATAAATGCTCTCATATTAATTGTTCTGTGTAATATCTTTTTTGTGCTCTAAACGCAGCGTACAAAAAACTAAACAATAATAGCTTAGCGAAAAACGAATTTGAGGTTTTTATACAAAACCTAAAAAATCAAATAAACAAATGCGCCTTTTCTGCGCCCGCGCACATTTGAGTACATTTGATGCTCTTTTGGAGACATGACGAAACAGTAATTGACATAGAAACAATCGACTGAGCCAAAAAATCACTGAGGCTTTGCCAATAATTCGCGATGACGACCGAAATGTCTCCCAAATATCGAAATTTAAAAATCCCCTATGCCAGTCCACAACGAAACCTGTACACGCCACTAATTAGCAACGCGTGGAGAAGCAAATCATTATTATCTGAAGTTTATTTGAGTGAAATCAAATTTTGTAACTTCGACTCAGAAAGTTGACAAATTTATTAGAAAATCAAAGCAACAAAGAAATCACAGAATTTGCATTTAATTTATGAAGTCTGGATGTGACTGTGTGGCGATTGGCGGCTAACGCGCTGAATCGCTGAATCGCTCGTTCAAAGTCATCAACTGATCTCGAAAAGTTCATTTAACTCGGGTAAAATTGAGACGATGCTTAATTATCACCTGTGTGAGAATATAGCAACAGATGTTATTGCAATCAAATAGGAACAAAAGAGACACACAGATAGCGTTAGAGAGTATAGAACTATCGTAGAAAAGTAACGATTTGTTTGGCATGTCCACAAAACAGAACTATGAAAGTAACCTTCTCTAATGCATACAAAAGTAAATTCTCTCAAACAGTTAATTCACTTTATAGTAAAGATTTTATCTACAATACCTGCTTCATGTACTTATATATTGTTTTATATACAGGGTGTTACCTAACGAAATCGCTCAAAATAAATGATACATTGGTCTAAGAAACAATAATATGAGTCTATTTCGCATATTAGTCCAAATATGTTAAGGGTTATCAAAGAAAAGTTTTCCCGAAAAAAAACTTACAGTCAAAAAACGATCAATATTCGAATTCGAATAATTAAAGTAATATAGTCAGTCAAATATATTTTAATTAAAGATTTGAAACTCACAGGCAGTGTCAATTCACTACGGGGAAAAACTAATCACTGGATGACTGTATTATATTATCAGTGAAGGAAAAAAAAAACAGACATCTCGCAAACTCGTTGTTAAAATTGAATTCTTCACATTGTTAAAAATCAGGATAGTCAGATTGTATTATACTTATTCCTCAATATTAGAATCAAACATTTTAATTTCTATTAAGAATATTATAGGTATATATGATTTATATGTGATTTGAATATTAAATTAATGAGGAATACAAAAATTTGTTTCGATTTCACAAATTTATACATATGGAAGATATATCCAATTAGTAGAAATCTGAATAGTATTTCTAACAGAATCTGTATACTGTACCATTTGACTAATTTTAACATCTATAGGTATGGAAGATATATCCAATTAGTAGAAATCTGAATAGTATTTCTAACAGAATCTATATACTATACCATTTGACTAATTTTAACATCTATAGGTATGAAAGATATATCCAATTAGTAGAAATCTGAATAGTATTTCTAACAGAATCTATATATCGTACCATTTGACTTATTTTAACTACTTTAATTTTTTAGATACTAATTATAAAATCTATTAATTTGTAAAATTTTAAAAGTCTTAAGCTTGAAACTCCACTTCCAGTTTAGATATATGACTAATTATCCAGTCAATTAAACAAAACCAATATATGACCAATGCTATGGCTCGCATACATTGGTAATACTGTTTTATTTAGAACCTATGAATTAACTTTGAGTTTGTCTGCCGTGAAGATATTCATAATGATCTCAAAATATCAAATGTTGTTAAAAAGTAGTGAGAATAGGTGAAAGACATTTACATAGAGTATGCAATCATGATAATCTAATGTCTATCTTCTTATTAGATGACACAAGCGAAACAAGAAAACTGAAGCGATATCATATGTTGAACTTTCCTCTTAAGAAATTAATATCTCTCCATCGGCCATCAAATAAGTTATATTTGTTAATAAGTTATATCAAATATTCTATTATAGAATAAGCAGTTTTTTCATTAGAATATCCCTTCTGTGATTGTTGATATATACCACTAATATAAGACATAATTTCACATATACTAATATCTACATTCAATAGCAAATTGTACAGTTAAGGTGAAAAAATAGATATTAATTATATATGAAGCAATATTAATAGACTATATAACAAATACTAGCCATAAGCCATAAACCACTTGTCTAATAAATTTCACATACCATAGAATTAAGTTCTAAACACAATCAACACCTATTAAATACTATAATATTATTTTTAGTTAATACTGTCTACTATCTATTTTCTATAGTATTTGATGAATGGAGAATGTAATAAATAATGGACAAAAAGTCTACCTGAGAGGTTAATGGCCGATCTGAACTGTTATGAGAACTGAGGATGATGACACATTTATGCAGCAATGGAATTCTTGTATTTTCATCCGCAATATATAATATATAATTCTTTTTTGTCGTGATATTCTGTGACGAATATCACTTCAATATGATATGATAAGAAGTCCCACAAGACGAATTATTCATGTGACGCATTTACACATTTTAGTGAATGTTACAAATAGTCAACATATAAAAGTTACTTATATTAAAAACTTTTGAAATTATATATATGAATATAAATACAATATATATAAAAAGTATAATCTATTTATAAAACAAACAAAAAGATTTTTGTAAACATTTCTTACTATTAAATATGGTTATAAGCTAACAAATCTTAGTATAACTAGTTACCATCAATTCATCATTTCGTTTTCTGCTTTTGTATTTTCGAGGACTATTTTCTTGCTTTGGGTTATACTCATATCAATCCACTTCTTGTCAGATACCTAATTGTACCCACAATCCAATTTAAAAGATTTCATTCTTTAGAGTTCTTCTTTCAAATAACCATCATCAGTTCATTGTTTTTGTTTTTCAATAAAACATTAATAAAAACGTTTGGGGCACCCACTCTATAAGTTATGGGCTTATAAGCATTATATGCTATATATATTACATGTTATATGAATAAGTTTTGATATAAGTGTAATGGATTTATGGAAAGTGTTATTTTAATAATTGAAAGTTTATATTTTCATTTCCATTCAATGTATTTATATCACAATTCCATGTAGTCATAATATGGGAAGATCAACTCAGTATGTTGGGATCTGCAACAATACCTTGCTAAAAAGAAGACTGTCAAAAACACCTGTATCAGTTACTTGCTACTAAAAAGTACTACTACATAAAATACTAGCTATCTATCAAAAAGAATTAAGGGATGAACTGAAATATAGTAAGAGGGAAAAAAATTTTGATATACTTAACTGTTCCTGAAGTTTTGAAAATAAATATATATTTAAGTCAAACCTAAAAGCGCCGAATACTTTTTATCCAGCATAATAATGAAGTATTTTACAACAAAGCAATAAAAAAGCACTGATATCTAGATGTAAGAAATTACATACTTAATATATATAAAAGATAATTATTTGAATTATAATAATTATTTTTTATTAATTATGTTATATATAATTTTATAAAATATAATATATATATATATATGTAATAAGTCAGAGTGTTTTGGTAACCTAAAGGTTCATTCCTTTCAAATCTCACCTCTTTGATGATTCTACAAACGTCATTATTTGGAACTTCTTATAAACTTAATATAGTATTCATATTACAATATTGATATGATCAATGCAAATTTTTAGGTACAACTCAGTTATTGGATAAAAATGCTAGTAAACTCGGTTTTGTGAGCCGGACTGTAGCTCACTCTACTACAGACTATCATGCTAATTGCCACTGAAATGATAAATAAAAATTCTGAGGTAAGCAATTAGTATCCAAAAACTTTAATTGCTCACAGAACGTGTTGTAAATATTTAAGGTTGTTTTTTTTTTATTACGAAATTGTTTGCAATATTTTGTTTTTTGATTTTTCATAATTAATATTTTTTTTTTCGTATATATATTTTACAGTTTATTTATCAATACAAAATTTTTAGAAACCAGAAATCTTTAATTTTTGCATATTTAATAATTTTCAAAAAAAAAAACATGTTTGTCGCAAACAAATTTGTTTTTATTTTAATGTCTTTATGTTTTTAAATTATATTAATAAACATATAAATAAAAACATTTTAAAAAATTTATACAGTAAATAAAATTTGTGAAATATGTTAATTTGTGAACAGCGTCTCGAGCTACTGGCTTCAAAAGCTTGAATTCAATCGAATAATACCGATAATATGATAATACCAAAAGAAATGAAAAGAGAGGAGAAAGTAAATATTTATAATATATATATATATATATAATCGCATCTCTGGAGAATTTGCTACAATATGTATATGTTATTAAGATTCGTTATTTTAATTTTCGACAACTGAATTTTTTTTCATTAAATTATTTAATTAATTTTAATTTTATCCTATATATTTAATATCTATTTTCTGTGTACATTAAATGCCGTTTTTATTATTTATTTTGTAATTAAAAATCATATTATATTATATTTTGTAATGTAATGTAATGTTTAGCCTTTTCCGAGTTAGTGCATCTGGACACTTTTACTCTTTGATAGCTGGGGAGTTTCTGCAGAGTCCCACTCATCTCACTGACTAATTTGAATATTCCTCATAATCTTCGTGATTATTCAATGACTGATGATCTAAGATCTGCGTACCGCCCCGTACGGTTAGTGATTACTCTGATATTAGATAGTGCTATGTTAAGTAGGACAGCCTGTCGGTTTTCGCATATAGCTTCAGAGCTCTGTCCCTTATGTGTATGTATATGTATTATGTATATTTTGTATATTATATATTGTACATCATAAATTATATTTAAATTAATAAATATTATATAATGAACATATTTTATTATTATACATTATTATTATATGCTATATATTATATGATATATATATATAAATACTTTATTATTTATATTATGTATAACTACATATCATGTTATATATAAGGTTTACGCCTCTAAATGGATGCCTTTTCCCAGGAATTAGTACCCAAACAAGCTGTTCTTTGAAAATATTATAAAGTTACTAATAATACAAACATCCCACTAAATGCTAGTGGACTCAACCTAGCATTTAGTTTAAGACTAAAATATTAAAGTATCCCTTAGTGTCTTAATACGAATTCAAATTCCAAAGTTCAAGTCCACAAGTTTTTGGATATCCAACCAATTTCACCCTGCCATCAACAAAATAACCAATGCAGCAATGAAAAAAATTGGAACCTGAAAAACAAAGTTTAAAAGTCCCAAGTCTACTCGGATAGTGCAGAACTTCTAACTTAAATCTATGTAAGATTACACAAATAAAGCTTTATTTAATCCTTTGATTTAAAAAATTATTTAAATTCAATTTGCTAAATTATTCAAGAAATGTTTCTTTTATAATTTTGTTTATAAGCATTTTTTATAATATTTTTTTTGCTTTTTATATATATATATATATATTAACGATAAACAAAAAGCTATGTACATAAATTTTTTACTTATTTATTTATTTATTTCCTAATTTACAAATTTATTTGTTTAGTTGTCTTTTTATATATTAACTTATTAACTTATTTATTTACTTACTTACTTAGTTTTTATGAACTTATTTTTTTATTTTTTATTTTTTATTATTAATTATTTTTTATTTTTTATTTTTTATTATATATTCATTCCTTTATTAGTTATTTATTTATTTATTTATTGATTTTATTGTTTATTTATTTAATTATTTATTGATTGAATTATTTACTTACTTTTTATATATTTATTTACTTATGTATTTAATATTTCTAAATTTTTTCTGTTTATTTATTTCTTTTTATTTGTTTTATTTGTATTTTCATGTTTATTAACTTATTTCTTTTATTATTTATTTATTTAATTATATAAGTATTTATTTCATTTATATATATTGATTTATTTATTTGTGTAGTTACTTATTCGTTTATTTGTTTATTTCCTTATTTATTTACTTATTCATTTATTATTTTTGAATTTGTTTTGTTAATTTATTTCTTAACTTATATAGTTCTTAATTTCTTTGTTTATGTATTTTTTATTTATTTATTTAACTCTTTCTTTATTTATTTAAATATTTATTTATTTTATTTAATTATTGATTATTCATTTACTTTTTCATCTATCAAATACATAGATGATTAATTTAATTTTTATTTATTTATTTATTTAATTTTTTATATATCTATTTATTATTTCAGATATCATTTGTTCATTTATTTATTTTTTTTTTGTTTATTTAAGCTATTTGTTTATTATTTATTAGCTATTTATTAATTTATTTTTTATTTTTCATTTATTTATTTATTTCATTTATTTATTTTTTTTATTTATTTAGTTCATTATGTATTTATTTTTTTTTTCATTTATTTACTTTATTATTTATTTATTTTTTTTTATTTATTTAGTTCATTATGTATTTATATTCTTTTCATTTATTTACTTTATTATTTATTTATTTATTCATTTAATTATTTATTTGTTTGATTATTTGTTTATTTTTTTTTTATTTTTTTATTTTATTTTTGTAAATAATTTTTTTTATCAAATTATTTCTCTCATTTTATTTATTAATTGATTTATTTATTTTTTATTTCTTGATTAATTATTTATTGATTTATTTATTTTTATTTACACAAATATTTTTTTATTTATTTAATTATATATTTATATTGTACAGTAATTGACAACTTATTTATCAGTTACAATTATGGTCAGGTATATGTTTTTATTAATATTAATATTAAATTTTTTAAACATGCAATAATAGAATTATTTCCATCAAGTATTTAAATAGTCTTTATATAAAAGTTTGAATTTGATATTCATTTATTAATGAAGGCAAAATTTAATTTTAAAAAATGTTTCCATAGAAATATTTTAATTACTCTTAATTTGATTATACATATCATTCCATCATTCACATATGTATTCTCTAATCATTTTAGTTCGCTTATAATAAGCGAAAAATCCTTCATATTTTGAATTTTGTACCACTGAAAACATCACTTTAAAATATTTGATTTGTTATCACTCTATATACACTTAAACCAAAAAAAAAACTCATTATATATTTTTTAAATTTTTTATATATTTTTTGTTTATTTCTTTTAATTAAAAAAAAAGTTATTTGTTTTTCTTAGAAGTATTTTGTTCTATTTTGACTTAAATTAACTCAATAAAAAATATCCTTAACACAGATACACATTTGCTTAAAAATTCGCAAATCTAACCACGTCCGCCTGCAGCTGAAGCAGATGCAGACGCTGATGCAGCGGATGAACCGCCACGACCGCCACCACCTGCTGCACTCGCTGATGCTGAAGCAGAAGCTGAAGAAGAACCGCTGCCGCCACCGCGATTGAATCCACCGGGTCTACCACCAAATCCGCCACCAAATCCGGGGCCGCCACCAAATCCTCCATATGGATTTCCGCCAAAACCACCACCACCAAATCCTGGTCTACCAAAACCACCGCCAAATCCTGGACCACCAAATCCAAATTGTGGCAAAGCCGCTACAGCGGCTACAAGTAAGGCCAAAACGATCAGAACTTTCATATTGTCAACTAAATTATTTGGTTTATTTTCGCCAACGATCTAATCAACTAATGCCAAACGAAACTCCGACAAAACTATTTATACTCACAATCGCAACAAATTAAATGTTAGAATCTGAACGCAAATACCAACGCAAAGAGCCGAATCACAACAAAGCACTTCATCTCAATTCAGATACATGCTTTTCAGCTTAAGTTCACATGATGGGAGATGACGATCACGAACTTCATAAGATTATATGATCATTATTTGAATGTATTGATCGAATTACGATTTGAGCATTAATCATTCGCTCATGATTAGAAGCAGCCATCGAAATATTTGCAGCCATCGAAGCAGCCCACATCGAAGCGAATTTATCGCTTCATTTTGATAATAAAATTGGTGATTCCCAATAGCAAAAAAATTAATTAATGAATTAAGTAAACAAGAAATATTTATGATATCGAAAAACATGTATGCGTGTTAATGTATGCATATAATAATGTGTACAGCAGCCCCAGGGGCTAAGGTTTCACTCTGCTACAACTTGAGATACATAATTATTGAAGAAATTATCTACTTTTGCTAGCCCCACTGAGATTTATTTCTTTTCGTTACTATACAAGTGCGTATACGGTTGGATCATTCACATTCACATACAATAATTATTTGCATATATATAAATATTTATATTCAAGTGATATATATTTTGTTTTATAATTATATATATCTTTATGTTAAATAAAATTTGTTTTAAACTTGGTAATTTTGAAAATTTAACAATGGCAGCAACTTTACACTGAGGTTATTTCCCTAAGTTACTTTTTCGTTTTTATAAAATCAATTTTTCCTGAACTAATCCACAAATATATTCTAAATTTATGTCAGTAATCAGTAGCGGTTGAAGTCAACATAAAATAATATTTAGTTATAAGATATAATTATGTTCACAATTTCAACCTATATCCTAAATGCACAAATAAAAGATATTAAGTAGCAAAATAGATATCTGGTCAGGAAAACGTTATTCACAACTACAGAGTTTGAAGTGTTACCTATTCAAGTGACCATATCCGATTTGAGTGAAAATAGTTTTTATTGATGAAAATTACAAAAATTTGTGAGAATAATCAATATTTCAGAATCCATTCACTCTAGCTCGATGTGGACACCTTTTGCCTTGACAATGGCTTTCAAATGGTTAAAAAATGAGTTGCATGCTTCACAAATGTAATTTTTCGATATTTTGGCACATTCCTGAACAATTGCTTTCTTCTCCGCATTCATATTGGCATATTTTTTAGTCCTCAGCTTGCTTTCTTACATGCTTACGACTCTAAATCGCCTAACCCTGTATATATCGTCAAATTCAATTAGTGTTCTAAAAATCTTTACCGCATCCATAATACCATATTTTTTAGTCCTTACCTTACTCTCCACCTCACTAAATTGGCCAAGATAGAATAGTTTTTCGGATTTGCATCTGACGAATTCGAAAGGCATTGTGTGGACGAAGTGAAGTTTGCAACATGATTTTTTAGCCATTCTTGATTTACACGAGATAGTCCTTTATAAGACGATGCCGATTTGGTGTCTTGTTGGAACGTCCATAGTTTGCAACTGAAATATTCACTTGCTTACGGCTCTAAAGCAACTTCCCAAACATTTTCTCGATAATAGTCGCAGAGCTTCCATTAGCGATGCTCAATGCTACACCATTACTTGAGATATAAAATTACTTCGGGTGGTTATTCGTAGTCCTAAGTTTTCCGCAGTGCATTCAGTTAAGTAAACACAATCATTTTGAGCAATTAGAGTTTATGAATTGCTCAATGGGAAAATTTTTCTTATCCGATAACATAATGTTTGGAAATTCGCCACGTTCGTGCAAGGATCACAACTTCTTTGCTCTTTGAAGTCTAATTTTTTGTTGCTTTGGTGTAAGATCTTGTACCTTTTAGAACTTAGCTTTACCTTGAACTCATTTTAGAATATGCGTCTGATGCTTCGCTGAGATATTTACAGTTCTTTGGCCATATGATTACCACTATGATGTGGAATTCGTTTAAGTTAAGCCTGCGCCTTCACTTTCCGATCCATTTCACCACTTTAATTGATGTTTTCTTGTCCACCACCATTGCGTTTGGTAACACCTCATTATATTTTTAACGGAACTAAGAAAACGAATATTAACTACACACTACAAGAAAATCGTAGAAAGCATCTTTAGAATATCAGTTAAATATACATTATACAAGAATGGTAATAATGTTTAACCCTGTGGAGTCCCGGTCTTAACCACTTGTTATGTTGAAAGATAGTTCTTCATTTAAATCTAAAGCTTTCTGTTTTTTAAGAAGACACAGATAATTTTGACCAGCTATATAGGAGTTAATTGTTTTATTATTAGTGCGGTATTATATAGATAGTTAGATAGATAAATATTTAGTTAACATTGATAAAAACACACAGCCCATTTAGACGTTTAACGAGAGACCATTATGATATAAGATATTTATTTAGAGATTCTCGAAATAAAGAAATGTGAATAATGTGAATAAATACCTTTTGATAAGTGTGGACTGGGCAGAGCAAACATTTTCTTCAATTTTCTCTAAGCCACAGCAGCAGTCGTAAAATAATTCCCCTCACTGGTTGTTAGTGTGTCTTAGTACTATAATTATATTGGATAGTGAGAGGCGAGCGAGACCAGAAAGTTACTCAGTTGTTTTCTAATTGTAGCCCGGGACATATTACATGTGTGTTTCGATATATGTGCTCTTCTAGTCAACTTTGAGCCGGTTCTTTGAAAAATTTTATGTGTATAGCCAATTTAACTGAGACTACAGGAATATCCACATCTATTGAAATTAATGTTAAGGACAGTGGTGTACTACCTGGCATGACCTACTTTATTAAATATAATACTTTCCAAATGTAAAATAATGACAAGGTTGTTCATTTCTTTGGCTTTATTGTATTATTGTCTAGTCGTGAGAACAAGCTTTCCGATGAAAGAGTTAATATGTTCATTGAGTTTTCAATTAATTTTTTGATTTCAATTTTTTTTGAATTTTGATTTTGGCATTGATAGTTAATGATCTCTACGAATTTTTGTGTTTTTAATGTACCATGGTCCTCCAGTACCGGTTAAGGTCACTGAAATCTTTTGATATATTTACAAAATATCTATATCTGATGTGCTTACATAGCCCAATAATTAAAAATCATTTGTCCAAATAGGTTTAATGATGGTATTATATAAAATAACTGCAAGTTTAAATTACTATATAATTTTTAAAAATATATATCATTTAAAACACATTTTTTATTAATTAGTAATTTTTTATGTAGTTTTTTTAAGGAGTTTTTCGAAAAGTAGTGAACTACAACAACAAGAATTCTTTATATTATTTTAATTAATTGAGTTTTTGGCTGATCCTACAGCTTTTTCGTGTATTGCCAAATATTCAACATTAGAGAACTTGGAAATAATTCTTGTATTTAATTATTCGTAAATAATTTTTTGAGACTGCAAGTACCAAGTGTTGAACTCGTACCCTGCCAAATTTAAAGCTCAGAGTCAGTGTTCATTTTTCTGGATTTTTGTTAATTTGCTGTGAAAGTTAGTTAACAAATTCACTTGCTGTGCCTACATTAGAACGAAATCATAAACCAGCTATGGAGTAATTGTATTAATTAATTATATATTTTTTTTTTAATTGTTAATTTTTTTTTTATTTTGTTAATCTATTCTTTTTTATTTTTATTATTTCATTTAAAACGCCTCTGTTTTAATATTTACATAATTTCAGAAAATCATTTAGCCAAATTATTAATTTAAATAAATTCGTTAATAAATGTAAATAAATGTGAATAGAACAAGATTATATTTATTTACAAGAGTATTGTATATAGTATTGTGAATAAAAAATCAATTATAACTTGTAAGACAACTTTGAAAAAATATAATAATTAGAAGCATAATTTAATAAATTAGCTTCCGGGGAAATTTCGCTCGGTTTAATTTCGCATGGCTTTCATCGGTTTCAAGGTGCGTTCACAGTCCACAAAAGTATGTCTTTATTTGAGTTGAGTTCGCCCAAAACTATTACTTTTTTCAATTGAAATCGGTTCTTCACATTTTTGCGAGCAATCGAAATTGTTTATTACTTATGGCTATTAATACTTATGAATAATATTTTTACTTCGATCTCATTCTGTACTTTTGTTATTCTACTTTCATTTACTTAAGCAATTAGCGCTAATATTAAAAAAAATTTTACCACAATGAAATCCATCCAAAGCCAGTTATTCATATTATCTCTACTTAACAGTAAGATACAAAATGAATACAGATACATTTTAAGATTTCAGACACAAATACTTTTGTGTTATTGTAATTTGTGATGTTTTTTTCTTCAAAAATTTGTCACATAAAATCAATTAGGTTTTGATGTTCTCGTATGTTATAGATATTTTTTATACACACAGGTATGGCATATAATTAAATATTTTAAGTCTAGATACTAAAAAGTTAATCTTATTATATATTTTTTTTTTTTATATAATTAAACAAAGTCTTAAATCTTCTTTTATTACTTCAAATTTTTGTTTAAACGGGTTTTTGTGTCGTCATAGCAAAATCTAAGAATTTTTTAGTATAATATTTTTTATAATTTCAACTATTCTTTATCTTTAAACTTACAAGTTTTAATAAAATTCATAATGAAATATTATCACAAAATAATAGTAATGAAAAAGTTGATCATTTCGATGAGTAAATAGGAAGCAATTTTAAGTTAAGTTTTTCAGAATAAAATCGTTAATTACGGATGACGTGTTAGTATCTGAAAAGCAATAAAATAAATAAAATTTAATTAAAACATATTTGGCTTAAACAAATTGTATAGTCAATAGTGCATATTCTGTTGTAAAAAACAAAATTAATAGTAATTAAATTTTAATAGTAAATTTTAGTTGATTAAGAAGCGCACTACAACCTTAATATATATATTATATACAGGAGACCCTAGAGACGCGGATAATAGTCCGTATGCATAATAAGAGCTAGCATGCGTTT